AACCTTTTTTTCTTTTTTTTTTCATTATAATTATTCAAAAATTATATCCAACGTTCATATGGTCCAACGTCCATATGAACGTTGGATGAATATCCCTGAGACCATGGAAACCTTTTTTTTTTTCTTAGAGACCCGTTGGAGAAATATAACGGTTGGCCCTTCTTCTCCCTATAAAATGGAAAGCCAAATAGAGGAAGCGAACAACAAGAAATAGGCGTACAGTTCTTTTCTCTATATCTAAAAGGTGAAGGGATAAAAAATCTGGGCTCTACGATCACCAGCCTCACGACACTCCTCTCTGACATCGGGTTTGGTCTCATCCACACTCCATCAATTTTTACTAACACTTACTTCATATCTACATGTATTGAGATTGAGATATTCAATCAGAAGGTTTTCCTACCTTGAATCAACAATTTCCAATAGATTTTTTAAGTGAATCCTACTTTTATAGGATAGAATTAACAACTTATACAAACCTCTCTTAGTGAAATCCTCGGTCAACAGTCCATATTTTATTGTCCTCCGTTGTGGCCATTAGAGCATTCCCTCTGGAAACAAGCATTACATTAACTAGGGGATTTGGTTCATAAGGTATCCAAAATCATGTTTTGTACACTCAAGGTATATGCATAAGAACATGTTCGACAATTTTTTTGGATACATAATCATGTTTTTTGTAACCAAGAAAGAGGGCGAAAACATGGGTACACAAAATCAAGAAAAAAGTTGGGTTATCTGAAACATGACTTTGTGTAAGCATCAAAGAGGGGATACAATATGGTACAATTGACGATAATATTATTTTTACACATCGGAGCTGCTCACTTTAGTAAATACAATTAATTATGCCAAAACATCCTTATAAATAAGAGAGAAACTATCTCAAATTTTAAGGTTTAGAGAGAGAAAGTATATTAAAATTTAAAGAGTGAAACTATATCAAATTTTAGAGAGAGAAATTAGCTAAAAAAATTTTAGAGAGAGAAACTATCTCAAAATTTGTAGGGAAACTATCTCAAATTGTAAGTTTTAGAGAGGGAAAGTATCTTAAAATTTTAGTGAGAGAAACGATATCAAATTTTAGATAGAGAACTGCCCAAATTTTTTAGAGATAGAAACTATCTCAAAATTTTTGGAGGAAGAAATTGTCAACTATCTGAATTTTCAAATTTTTAGAAAGAGAAATTGACTCAAAATTTTTGGAGAGAAAAATATGAAATTTTAATTTTTTAGAGAGAGACACAATCTCTAATTTTTAGAGAGAGAACCTATGTCAAAATTTTAAGTTTGATATGTTCTGTCTATGTGTGCAATAGCATTCAGGTTATATAAAAATGATCCAAACATGAGTTTTGCATAACTTGTGTACCATTCAAAACTATCCAAACAAGTCCTATTTGAGTAACCAGGTTTTAACTCACCCTTTTTCTACGTAATTCAATTTTTTTGTAATGGGGTTGAGGTCGTGGTGATAGCACCACTTGAGTCTCAGTTACAAGTCTAGGTTTCCATTCCCACTAACGCATTTCAAAACCGCTAATTATTTCTAAAAAAAATGGGTAGGGGCCTGTATTCCCCACTGATCTACCCAAAAAAAAAAAAAAAAAACATAACCAAGGTTTTGATTCAAAACTTGTTTTATTGACCCATGGAGCCAAAGGTGCCTTGGGTAAATTTGCTCATCCTAGGGGATATTTTGAAAGGGGAAAGTTTATATAGAGTCGAGACTTTAAACAATCAAATTAGAGACTACATAAAAAATTTCACTAGAAGAGGTTGTTTTTATGCCCAAATATCCTCAAATTGATCATCTTGACATCAAGATGCATGGACATGAGAAAAAAAATGAATTTCAAGTTTTGAAAACAATGTTTTTTGTAACGCATTTTTGGACCGTCAATTTTCAAGATTTTCAAGTTTTTGTATATCTCTCAATCTACACTGTTTTTTGAGTTTTACATTTATAAACAAAAATGAAATATATTTTAAGGCTATCAAAAAGATTTCTAATTGAAACCGCATTTCTAGACGGAAGTTAGGCTCTAATTTGATTGTTTAGAGCCTAGTCTCTATACAAACAGCACCCTTTTTTAAACTTAATATTCATATTTTGTGGAGTAAAATATGTGACATCATGGTTAGATGCCCAATTAGAGCTCCTTAGACTTGAATTTGTGGAATACAATACGAGAGAGAGAAGGGACTTTTTTTTAATTTAATACTCATACTTTGCAAAATGAAATATGTGACATCATGGTTACATGCCGGTTAGAACTCCTTAGACTTGAATTTGGTGGAATATAATACGAGAGAGATATTATTTAGTTTACCTTAAAAGAAACATATTCTTTAGTGTAAATCATTGTCACATGCGATTTTGAGAGAGAGAGAGAGAGCGGGGTGCCTCCAATGCTTGTGCCTGAAGTTCCACATTGAGAGGCGTAGGAAATGAGCAAGGGTATGTTGATTAGACCTCTACCAAGACTCCAAGACAAATTATGTGTTACGACAAATTATTTCTAGAATACCACCAATCACAAATTATGTGTTTTTCAAAATTTATTTTTTCACTATTGTTTTAACTTTATTAAATTATTTTGTTTAATTTTACTTTAAACATATTTTTCTATTTTTGGAAATTTTTAATTTTTGTATTTTTTTTTCAACACTTTTCGGCTTGACTTGGACCCGGCCTGACTAGGGCTAAGTAACTTGGACCTGGCCCAAGTTACTCGGCTTGGGTAGGGGCCGATCCCGGCCCGGAGTCATGGGTTTGTGCATTGCTCATGGACACAAATTTGCATTGTTTTAAAAAGGTATTGTGAGTCTGAATCACTTTGAAGATCCAAGGGATTGCAAGGAGATGATAATTACCTTTAGCCATCAAATATGACATCCGACTGCTTGGGTGTGTTACAAAGTACTTTTATTTTGAGTTTTGTTCCTAATAAATTATTCACCAAAAACCATTCACATCCAATGATTGTTGTATTTTTTCTTTGCATAAGTACCTTATGTTATTCCAAAATAATATTCTTTTTGTTTTATAGTGTTTTGAAAATATAGAGCCTTGAAAATGATGTTTTATCTTATACATTGAGAGGGAAGTGATGGTTATTTATCCCATATTGAAAATGCAGAAGAGAACAATTTTATTTAAATATATAGACGTCTTCTTCACTTATTTTTTAAAAGTCAAGGGGCGAAAAAGTGTATATGCAGCATGCAAATGCTATCATGCATGTGCGAAGATGTAAAAAACGTAATGGTGCTTGATGGTACACTTAGTACTTCACATATACTAGCAATGTCTTCAATAGAATGCGCTCTCCGTGGATTGGTGATGAAGGGCATTCTGGTATACAGGGCGTCAATGGTTAGATGTGTAACAATTGCTTTACTGGAACTCAAGAGACACCGTGTGATTACTGGCCCACGCATGGACTTGTGGCAGTTAGTTTCTTGGAACCTGAAGGGTCATTGCGTGAATATAGGATATTCTGTTGCACGTCATTGCAGTAGGTGCGCCATTTTGATGGTCGAGATTTGGTGAGACACAAATCTTGACTGATGTTGTGGCATTTTGATGGTGGAGATTTTGTGAGGCACAAATATTAATTTATAGGTTCTTGAACAGTCACACGTAGTTGAAAAGTCACTTTATCTCTTTGTAGATAGAACAATGCTACTTGTTTGAACAAGTTTACATATCAAGTTTTTTTTAGCGTAACGGGACAACTCCATTACTCTTGCTCTTGCAATACATTTATATTAGCAATATAACATTTATATTGACAAGATAATTTTTTCAATCTTGTATTTCACGTATCTCGAGAATAAACTTGTTTGGTAAAAACTTAAATACATACTAATATTTATCAGTAACAACAAATGTTATATTGAGAAAGTAATTTATCATGCTCAGGAATATAAATATTGAAGTTTCCTTATTTCAGATTTTATAATTAAAGATGAAAATAGATTAGGGAAAAGTTTATATAGAGCCTAGGCTCTAAACAATCAAATTGGAGCATATCTTAAAACTTTATTTAGAAGAGGTTTGATGCTCAAATATCATCAAATTGATCATCTCGACCTCATGATGCATGGATATGAGAAAAAAATCGATTTCAAGTTTTGGCAATTCTGCATCTTGTAACGTATTTTTTGACCGTCAATTTTCAAGATTTTCATAGATTTGCTCAATCTACATTATTTTTGAAGCTTTAAATTTTATAACTAAAGATGAAAATATAATTTAAGGCTATCACAAAACTTTCTAGTATTGAAACCATATTTCTCGATACTATTTGAAGGTGGGCTCTAATTTGATTGTTTAAAGCCTTGGCTCTATACAAACCGCACCCAATAGATTATCGAGCCACACATTTTTTTTGAGAAAAATTATATTTATAATAAAATTTGTTTAAAAAGTAGAAATAGGCAATGATTCCATGCAACTGTTGTACGATGCAACAACTTTAAAAGACTATCTTATGGCCATTTTTTTGATCTAAAATTTGAAATATACACTTTTTTCATTTTAATGAGCAATCACAAGAAAAGAAAAAATTGAAAATACAATTTAGAAAGTATTTTTTTAGCCCAATTAATATAAGCTGTTCATTTTGGTGATGTGTTTAGATCTAGGCCTTAGAAGGATCTTTTGCATTTCTAATTTTTTTGGATGGCTTTATTATCATTAGATGAACAATGTTAAAAAATAAAAAAATAATTTGAGTTTATAAAGACTGAGATCTTGAAGTTTACAAAATAAATGATTTAGATTCGTTTATAAAGATTACTCATTTTGACCGTTGAAGTTGAACCTTTTTTTTTTTAATTTTTTTTTTTTTTGAGACTGATCATTGAAATAAAAAGATCGGCCTAAACTTTGAACTCATACAAATACTACAAAACTGATTTTCTAAAAGCAATCGTTACGATGTAACGATGATACTACCTCTTTACATTATACTATGACACAACCGTTAGCATAGGATCATTGCCCCCTACAAATATCAAAATTGTATACCTACAACCAGTACGGCCACGTATCCCTCGCTAGTTTTACTTATGTGCCAGGATGTTGTCGGTTCCCTCTCGCATTACTTCAGCTATTTGTTTCTCCCCAAAGTGTCCTGGATCACTTGCGTATCTCTCTCTCTCTCTCCTGCTATCTGAGAAATCATGGTCCTCTCTCTAATTCCTGTGATCTGAGAAATCATGGGCATGATTTGAGGTACATTTGTCATTTATGACGTTTGCCCATTAAATTCTATTTTGCTTTGCTCTTACTTGCAATTTTTATACAAACTTCATTGCTGCTTCATTTTCCCGTGATTTCACTTTATTCTTTACAATGTGTCTGGTTTTCACTCTCTCTCTTGTTTCCATGGCTTCTCATGATCACACGTATTCGACTTTCAAAAGTGCCTTTTCCGTGGCAGCGTCTATGTTGTTTCTGTAAGTTCGATAGTTTCACTTCTCAGAAGTAATGGCTGTTCCAGTTGAGGAGGCCATTTCAGCTCTTTCTACCTTTTCTTTAGAGGTATGCGACAATATTATTTTAGCACAAATGTGCTTGAACAATTGGTTGCTCTTGAGCTCCTTTTCCTCTTGATACATTCTGTTTCTCTTTCTAATTAACTAGTCATCAAATTTTCTCTCAGTTTTAATAAATTTGGTTGAAATTTTGTCACATTGCTTGTTCTATCATGTTTTAGTAATTCATCGAGAAATTGATTTAGTGATGAAATAGAGAAATTGATGTTCCACGTTGATGAATTTTTGCTACATTGGTGTCACTATGTTCTGCTATTCATCGAAAAGTTTGTTTTTTTAGAGTTTTGTTCGTTGCTCTAGTCTAGCAAGCTGTATTTCAGGGACCTATGGTTCTAAGTTCATTCCCTCCTTGTTCTTTATTTTCAATAAATAACCGTATGTTGTAAATACGTGCTGCTCCTTCCATGCCTGTGATGTTCTTTCTGAATCACTCTTGCTCCTTCAAACCCATTTGAAATGTACTTCCTCCTACTATCTGTTGTTTTTGCTCGTAAGCATCTCATATCCTTTGAATCCCCAAACTTGAGCAACACTTAACCCAATTAACAGTTAAACCTCTTATATATAGTGAAACTGGTTGATAAAGAACCAATGAGCCGATGACCAATTGGTCACCATTCCTTTCTTATTCTACTTAGTCTCCAGGCCCACTCATTGTCTATCTCCCTCTGCCTCTTGATGTATATTTCTTCCTCTAAAGTTCAATGCTTAACTGTAAAACAAGTAACTGTGGCAATGTTCTTGTCCCATCTACAATTCTGTTTCCAAAGAGAATCTGCTCTGTACTGATAATAATTCCAGTCCTCACTAAGGTGTCTAAGAACTTCACCCCCTAATCTTTCTCTTCAAGTAGTAGATGCCCGATGATCCCTTCTATCACGGCATCTATGATTTGGGAAGCTAAAGTTCCCTTTTCGGCTATTCCTTCTCTATCCACTTAAAATCAGTTTCTTACCATTTGTGTTCTTTGTTTAGACATTTGTGTTTTTGTCGGAAACTTCCACACTATGTTGCTTTTTGCACACGTTGTCTTTTATGCCCTCAATCATATCCTTTCAAGACCAATACTATTTCTTGCCATCATAGGACTTCCATTGGTTATAGGCTTGTAAATGTGTTTGGTCAGGTCAGGGTGAGACCTGGTAGCCACTGGGGTCTCGTTCAATTGGACCCAGATTCGATCCAACATCGAGTCAGGTTGGGTCATGAAAAAATAGAAATATTGTAATGATCATACTAGGTAAACCCATTGGGTTCAGAATCTGGGTTTGGAGCCAGATCTAGGTTGGGTCGACTTGTTGGTTCCGCAGGTAGACCCAATCCATTTGCCAATTCTTTGAGATCTCATAGTTGCAAATAATATATTCCCTGCCTTAAAAGGAAAGCACATACTAGAAATTTAGAGACAGACTTCCAAAGGTTATTTACATGCCCTGAATTATTATTATTTTGAAAAGTGATATTGATTTGAATGAAGCATACATCAAAAAAAAAACAAAAGATGATCTCAAAATAATGAATACAAACAAATATCTATAGACTGGGATAAAGAAGGGAAAAAATAAATAGTAGGAAGTGTGAAAAAAGGGAGGATGAATAGACTATCCAGAAATTGATTATCGTCAACTTGATAGATCCAAAATTACAAGGATTCCCTCAACTCTCAATGTATAACAAGGATTGAGTCACCTTCAACAAGGCGAAAGCACTTTTATAATTTGAGAAGAGGCAGAATGGGACTGATTCTCATTAATGGATTCATTAAAAATTAAAATTACGACATTGATATATGTACGGAGTATCAGGGTCTGAATGGTGAAAATACCTCTGCACAAATACATGTGCACATACATCAACAGAGCGGAAAGCCGTGGATAATCTTAAACTAGCCAGCAGGGGAGTCACTTCTGCCATGTGGGGTTGCGTGTCCCAACAAGGCCTGGAATGCCATGAGAATTCTGTTGCTCTAGGCTTTTAGATACTTTTCAATAATGATGGTTGATATTAAAGTTTGATTTCAACTGCTGTAGTTTTAGATATTTTACCTATACTAGAAGTGAAAGAAAAGCTTAATGCACTCCCTTGCTTTTGTGATTGTTGCTCTAGGCTTTTAGATACTTTTCAATAATGATAGTTGATATTGAATTTTGATTTCAACTGCTGTAGTTTTGGATATTTTACCTATACTAGAAGTGAAAGAAAAGCTTAATGCACTCCCTTGCTTTTGTGATTGTTTCCTATTCTTTCATTGCATTATTCTCTATTTAAGATGAAATTCTTTCAAATAATTGTACTTCAGGATGATCAACCAGATGTACAAGGGTTGGCTGTTCAACTGTCTGCTGAAAGATATGCTACAAGTAGTCCAATTGGTATGCGATATCCTTGTCTTTTCCATTTTGATTGAACACTTTCAAGTGTCTAAGCTTTAATTTGGCAATTTCATTTTTGGAAGTTTGAAGAAAATAATTACATGTATTATTTGTGTTGGTGGTTTATGCATAGATTGATTGTTGTAGTTGCTAGTTGCTAGAATACTTAATTACTGACCCCAAATACCCCAATTGTCTTGGAGTCTGACTCTAAATCACTTTTTTCTTTTGGGTAGATCAGTGGGGATTTTAGGCCCCTACCTGTTTTGGAAAGAGTCAATTTTTTGAAAGTGTTGGTGAGAATGGTGGCCATGACCTTTAACTGGGGCTCAGGTGGTACTACCACCACGACCTCAGTCCCATTCTCAACTCTAAATCATTTCTTATGGCAAGAACAAGTGAGCCAGTTCCTGCGGGATCCCCATGGCATAAGCATGCTTGTGCAAGAGAATCCCAAAGCAAATAATCTATTCAGGTGGCTCTGCATTCTGTCGCACCTAAGCATATAATATACAACATATTTAGCTTTTCATCTTCCTAAGTAGGTTAGTAGACACCATTTTGTTGCTTAGTTCATGGTTACGTTGCATACCTTAAATTAACAAATATGAACTCAGCTTCAGATTCACTGTAAAGGACACATCTTGACTATTTACATCACAATCAATTTTCTTCTTGCAGAGTATGCTGATGTAGCTGCATATCGTTTGTCATTAGTGGAAGACACAAAAGCCATTAATCAACTGGTATGTTCGTTTATGCCTCTTTTGTTTTGACTTACTGAGTTTCATTTCCACTAGATCTTAAAAAACATTATGTTGTTAAGGAAAATATGATGGGTTCTTTATACATACCTGATAAGAACTAAGAAGGCGGAGAGCAAAGTTTCCCCCACGAAAGACTCTTTTGCAATCCTTTTCTTCGAAATTATGCTATTCAGAGCTTATAGGTGTAGTTTTGGTCTTCATAGTCTTAATCCACTATTTTCCTTGAGGAATAGAAGTATAAAAAAGCTTTAGGCCTCTCTCTTTCTTCTCTCTCTCTCTCTCTCTCTCTCTCTCTCTCTCTCTCACCCCTTCCTCTTTTTCTTCTGGATATCTGTTCATTTTTCCTTCCTTTTCTTTCTACATAAAGGTTTTATAGAGAAACCCAATTTATTAAAATTTCTTCAACACCCCTTTATAATAATAATTTCACATCGCTGGCCTTCAAAAGAATGATAAAAAAAGAGGCCTTCAAAAGAATGATAAAAAAAGAGGCTTTAGGGGATTTTTATTTATACTTTATAGAATATTGCTTAGTTCCCTTTGCAAGTATATTAACAAAACAAAATATTGCGTTTTTGGACACCATCTGGGGTAGTTGAAAGTTCCTTTTCCAATCTCTTAGACTCCTATGGACGTACTTGAGATAATCAAAATTTCTGAATTACACATTTGATATTCTCTTCACACTCCTTTGACCTCTACACTTTCTTCTGATGCTGCAAATCTTCCATGCTCATTCGTATGCATTTTGACTTAGTTACAGAGATAAATAATTACATTGCATTTTCTCTATGATCTCTAACTCTAATAATGCTTCCACAACCACCAATTTCATAAAACTATGGTGGTGGCATTCATTTGCCTTTTAATGCAGTCCAATGATGTTAATAAGAGGCAGTCTTTCTGATAATTGAAAGTGAACACCACCAAATTGAATATCATCAAATGTTGTTTTTGAAGAGATATACCAAATGCTAAATGGCACTCTCTTTATTCATATCTTGCACGATACATTTATTTCTTTTTTCTTTTGATTCTGTGGGTATGTTCAGAGTGGGATGTGAACTTTAATCCTGGTGGTTGGCATGAATAGCTTCATGCCCACTGGGCTTGGACTGTTGTAAATGGATCTTGGTTAATGGTTATTGACTTCTAATGAAACATTTGCAGAACTCCCTGATTCAAGAGGGAAAGGAAATGTCATCTGTGCTTTATACATACCGAAGTTGCGTCAAAGCTTTACCTCAGGTAAAATTTGTCTTGTCTGGTTTAATGATGGTCAAGGGATACTTATCAGAAGGGAAATGAAACTGTAGCATTAGCTTATGTCTAATCTTTCTATTGAATGGATCACTTTGTCTTCATCGTAAGGTTGCTAGCTTTTGAAATTGTAGTCCAATTTGATTTTTTTTCTTCGTGTCACATATGATCCCATTTGTTTGGTGGTGCACTTATGATGTCTTTGATCAGATTTTCATTCTGTTTTAAGAGCCCGTATGTAGTAATGTGTTTGTAATTGTTTTTTTCATGCCGCCCAGAGAGCTTTAGGAATCAAGATCTGTTCCATCGCTCCATTGGATGTCTGGTGATAACATTGTTTAATGGAAAATTTGTGTCTGTATTGTGAATTCAATAATGCAACAGCTTTCCTTATTACAGTCATATTTTGTCATGGATTTTTTTAAGATGGATCTGAAATCTGTTTTGCCAATGTGAGTAAATGATCATTTGACTATATGCTCCTTATTTCATTCTCTTCATTCAAAGAGGAATCGTGATGTTGTGGTTTTACATGGCTAATCTTATCTAGTGACTTGTTTGGTTTATATAATATTTTTGGTTTCTAGAGGATTTTTTTTCTTCTTGGCTTTCTTGTCAAAGCTGGCCTTTGGATTTTATGCCTCCCAGTACTTCCCTGAGTTTTGTCTTTTAGGAAAAGACAGAAAAAAAGTAAAATTGAAATACTTGTATGTCTTGGGATGTTTTGGTTGTGGTTTCTGTGATGTATGATGTGTCATTTAAGATGGGAAGAGGGTTCAAATCTCGGACAAAAGTTGGTTTGTTTAATCCTTCTAAGAAGCAGCTTTTTTTGTCTCCCTGCTGGAGCAGTTCCATTATATGTGCACAGTGATTCACTCTGGGATTTGGGTAGTATTGTTTGCGTGTGTTGCATTGATAGCCAGATTTTAGTTAGTTGATTGAAGACTGTTAATTGGCGTTGGTTTCTTTTGCATTGGATTCCAGCTTCATAAATGTGATGCTTAAAAATACAGTGAAAATCACACTGATCTAGGTATATTTGTTTCAGCCTACATGGACTCTGCAATCCTAGGCATCTTGAATGGTGCTTTTAAGGTCACTCTGTTGTTACTTGTAACACACTCCAGTGCTTGGGTTCCCTTTGCTCACTTCATTGAAGTTTTAGCTTACCGCTTCGCTTTATCTGAGCTTCTCTAATGATGTATCGAGTCAGCGGACCTTAATGATCTGCTATATAATTTCCGTTTTACACCCAATTGGTCTTTATTTTCCTCGCGTGATAAAATCATCTCTGATATCATTTACCAATGTTCCTATGGTCCTTGATCTACCCGAGAACTTTCAAACATTTCTTTTCTTCCATATATGCTAGGTCATAGTCCATTGTAGTTTATCATCCTCTGGCTAGCCATATTTGTGATCTGCAATGGTTGAACAGTTGAGCTACCATCTCCTCTTCTTCCCCCACTAAAAAGAAAACCATATTCCCATGCCAATATTGGAAGGACTAGATAGGAGTGGTTGGTTCAACCAGTGATTGGAACCAAAATCATTCCTGTCGTCCCTTAAACCTGGAATTCCGAAAAATATTGATTAAAATGGTGGTTAATTGTTTGGATTGATCTGATTTGTTTTTTGGGAATTGGCTGTTCTGGCATAGTTTTGTGATCGCTTCTACCTGTCAAATATCCATTTTTTAATTTCTCTGTGACTTTGGCAATTTTTGTTTTTGGTTATTTTTTGGTAAGTAACTCAAGTAACTTCATTTTGCTTTTTGTTGGATTTTTGGTGAAGGAAGTGGGTGAGTTGAAGACTTAAAGTCCCAAAACCTCTTTCAACTTGTGGGTGTTTCTTCTATCCTCTCGACATACTTAAAAGTTCATGTCCATTTTTGTGCGCAACAGATACTGAAAAATATTATGTGCTGTGCACAATAGATTTTGAAAAGTTTCATGTTGAGTATCTGCTGATGGAAGTCCTGAATAAGTGTTCGTTAAAGGGGAAAATAGAACATCAAGATTCCATTTACATTCTTGGTAAAATACAACCCACAAAAGAAGTCCATTTACCTTGAAAATAGTATTGGACTTTTGAAATATATTTCTTGTGAAAATGAGATTTTTGTTTGCTTAATATCATGCAACTGCTCTTTGATAAACTACAAGAATATGCAACCTATACAATAGTTGGTTATTTAATTCTGTTTTTTACTATATTTTCTGCCAAATAGTAATACATGCACACTAAGTTTTGATGGCCATATGAAATTGAAATGGTGTTGCAGTTGCCAGATTCTATGAAACAAAGCCAAGCAGAATTGTACTCGGAGACTTATCAGGTCCTGGACTTGGAGATGAGTCGTTTGCGAGAAATTCAGCGTTGGCAGGCTTTGGCAGCATCTAAAGTACCATTCTGGTTACTATTTCTTATGAACTTATTCTGCTTATGACCATTTCTTTTTCATTCTTCCATGTAACATTTAAAGCTTGTATCCCATTATCATATTATACCAGCAAACATTGTTTCACCTTCTAGTTGCAGTAAGTGGTTGTATGTCCAAGGAAGTTGATTGTACTTTACATGAAAAAATTAAAAGATGTAGTTTCTGTTGCATTGAGATGCTAAACAAATGCTTGTAAGCCTTTTATCAGTATTGAAGCATCAAGAGATGTTTCGTGGAGTTTCTGTTGCAGAATTTAAGGATCTTGCCTTCTATATCTCATATCACTGACTGTTCCTGTTATTAATATATCCATGCTACAACCTTATCATGTATTACTGGCAGTTTTTCCTTTTGCTTTACCTTTTAAATGACTCTGGTGTGTGATCAAAGTTATTATGATTGCTTGTAATACCCAAGATTTTAGTTTCTCAGTCGCTTTTTGTTGGGAAAAAGGTTTCATTTAACAGTTGTCTTTTTTCTTTGAAAAGCAGAAGAGAAAATGGACTGCAAATTCTTGAGGAATCATTTGTCCAGGGAGATCACGTTATTAAACTGGAATTATTGAGGATGTTGAGAGAGAGTTCTTAATAGAAAATTGGCTTCAGAATCTCGCTTAAAGAGTTTGGGAGAAATAGGATAGGGAAGTTGTTGTAAAGGCTTAGGGTAATCTACCTCCAAAAACATAAAACCAAGTGTTTGTCTGTGCAACGAATGAGGAGGATTTGTGTCCCACAACATCAGCCTGAAATCGACTCTGTTTTATAAGTTAATGGGAATATGTCATAGTGATGGATGAGGACTTTATGGCCCTGAAGAACATCATTATCAAGGATAAAACCCCTGTACCAGCCATTATTGAGTATCCTGGAGAACTTTGTAACAGGGATAGATAGTTCTCCAAACTTGAACTTAGATAAGGATATTATCTACAAAGGATGATAAATAGAAGACATTCCGTAAGACAAATTTCTATACCCATTAGTAGCCATCTTAAAATCGTTTTGATGCCATTCTGCGTGCAAATGGGCAATAACAGATCAAAGTACTCTATCCTCAATTGAGTAAGTGAATAACTATACGTAGTTAAATTCCATTGGAATTCACTGTAACCTTTTCTTTTTTATCAAACTCCGAGAAAAGGAATTTTACATTATACTAAGGGAAACCATTAAACTCAATTATCCATAACCTAGGAGAAAATTATCCAGGGAGTAGCTATATATCATAAAGTTATTGTCTTTAGTTGGATCGAGAGTTGAAGCATTTAGTTACTCTCTATTTTGTAAGAGTGCATAACAAATCTCAAATTAGATCAAAAGCATCAACTAAAGAAGTCTTAAGGTCCCTTCGAAGATTCTCAAGATCTTTGAGTTCAACAGGTTATTTTCACAAGTTCATGTATAAGATGCCATGGTAAGATAAGCTCCCTGCTAGCTACTCAATAAGAACTCAATTGGGCGTCTACTAGAGGCAGAACTGGCTTTCAAGAACTTAGAGAAATCTGTGAGTACCATCTCATATTAAGAATACTATTCAAGAAGTATCACCAGAATGGGGAATGTTCTTGAATCAGAACTGGCTTACTCGTGCAAGTTGGTGGTCCATTGGCTTTCATAATAAAAAGTTTATCAAGTTGAACTTGGCTTTATCCAATTACAAGATTGGAAATGTTGACAATCATTCACCTGACTTCTATATGGAAATACTCACTCATCATCTGGTGCTTCATCATTCACATTACTTCTCATGGTACCCTGGTCCTTTAACAACCAGAGGAGTCCTCAACCAAACAACAAATCGAGCCATCAAACTCCAAGGATATAGTTACAAAGTTATGCAGTGGAAGTTGCTCACTACAGTCGATGCACTTAGAACACAATCTGGGGAAGACCAAACGCCAATTCAATTTTGGCACCACTTATCAAGTGGATGAAATCATTCGAACAAGAAAACGCTTAAAAATCTAATCAATCCCTAATTCAACAGTCATAATAAGATCTGAATGTAGAACCATATACTTGTGAAAGATGTAAGCAAACGCTTACCAACAAGTCCCTGTTGACAACAATGGAACGATTACAGCTGTTGCACTTTAATGCATTAAAAAGGGGAAAATTTACCAAATCACACCGAAAGTATCAGCTATTTACGATTTCACATGTTTATCAAAATGCACTTAAAATATAAACTAGTCTAACACATTACACATAATTATGATTATTGATGGAGTTTTTGAAAACAAATAAAAAAAATGAATGAGATGTTAAAAAGTTCATATCCTGGGTGCTTTTGATAAAATTTCCCAGGCCTTTCCATCTCAGCCTTAATCTCTTGGACTTGAATGAAAAGGTAAATCAACATTTCTTTCGTTTACTGTGATATATCTCCAAGATCCCAAGCCCTTTTCAACTTTCTGCAATCCAACAAAACTTTGAGCTGACTTTATACAATTTATAGAAGACCTCTGTAGCCCCCTTGGAAAGGCAATCATTGAATTTTAGATCATTTAAGTACACAGGCTTCCCTCTACCTATTATTACTGCCGTACACTACCAAGATGGTGCATCGGTATTCAAACTTCATTGCCAACCTCGCTGGTTATACCTCATACTTTGAGCTGTTATAGTTGAGCTCAGCCACCCACCCAGAAATTTGTGTAGGAACTTATGAACTTATGACTCTCACTATTACTATCCACAAATACCACCTCTAAATTCAGTCATTTTTACATTTATTTCAACTTTCAAGCATGCATATCCTTTTTCACATTATTTATAATATGATTTGTATGATACATATTTCAGGCATGAGTAACAAAGAAATCCACTTTCCTTACAATGTAATAATCAATAAAAAAGGGAATGTCAAATTCTCGATTCTGCTCATACTTTGTGAGCTCTTCAAACGCAATTTAACACTAAGTTTTTCTGTCGTTTTTTGTTGGGAAAGCTTGGTTTAGTGGCACAATATATTCATAGCATTCATGCATTCTCAGAATACTATAACTTTAGATGGATAATTTCAGTAGTAAAACAAATTTATAAGCAACCACAAATATAGTGCCATCGTGGATCAGTAACAAGCCGCACTCACCCCCTGCGGATGTTTCTCCTTGTTCACCCATTAAACATGGCTTTCATTTTCTGTTGACACTCTTCTTTTTTTTTGTGTCTTTGAATGTTGTCTTGCACATCAAACTTACAGTCTCTTTATGAAGGGCTTGACGTGTAACTTCATTCTTTGCCAAAGCGCTGTCCTTGATAAGCGTGTGAATCCTTCATTAGACATGCAATATATGGAAAAAGATCTTATCGTCATGTGAGAGAAAACTCCTTAATAAGAAAAACGAGTATTTTATCCTCAAAATCTGGAGTTTCTTATTAAATGATATGAATTGTTTTTTTGATTCACCTTAAGGCCAATTTCTTCCACCTTTGACAATCACATGATCAATTATTCTCCATGTGCTTTTTTACATGAAAACTTTACCGCATGTTGCTTTAGTTAAACTTCTTGACTGGCATTCTAGGATATAAATTTGTTGCTTGTATCTATATTAAAACACTCAGTACATAACCGTGGACTTTTTATTTTTGTTTGAATTCCCTTTTTCAAACTTGCTATTGGCTATGGTATTCTTTTTGATTCAGGACCTATGAGGAGTTTCTTACTCATTCATTTACTACAGTTAGCAGTGGACATGCAGCGATTTTCGAGGCCAGAGAGGCGCATTAATGGTCCTACAATTACTCATCTCTGGTGTGTTCACTTGTGCTTATTCCCTTCTGATTTTCATTGACATGCCTGTTAGGTGTGCGAATAAGAGTCCAAGTCACTATGCTATGAACAGGATCCTGAGCTTCATAATGTGGTGTGGCTGTTGTTATGCCCATTATAATAGTGAACTACTAAAAATGGATGAACTGGTGCATGGATTGCTGCTTCGTCCATCTCTTGCTGCCCATTCTCAGAGTGGAGGGCAAGATATGCAAGGCATCATGGCGCATGCCATCTTTACTAGTTTCAATATCACAATGTTATTCTCAAATTATTTCTCTAAAAAATTATCTTCTTTTATTAGAAAGATTTCATTAATCGGGAATGGGGCTGGGGTCGTGGTGGCAGTACCACATGAGCCTCAGCTAGCGGTCTAGGCCTCCATTCTCACTAAAACATTCGAAAATTGACTATTTCTAAAATGGGTAGGGGCTTGTTATCCCCATTGACTTACCCAAAAAGAAAAAAGTTAAAAAAAATGAAGATTTCATTAATGTTCTTTTTGTTAAGAGGGTAAATAAGCACTCTCAATGTTAGGTTTACGTGCTTGCTTTTTTGTATTTTACGGAGTAAGGCGTGGATAAACTTTGGTTCCTTGTGCCCTATACAGAAGGCAATTCAGAGCCAATGGTTAGAAGTCACAAGACATAAATGACGAGCTGCTAGGAACTACATATTCCCCCTACCACCCTCAACAATGAATTGATTTGCTCTATTTTTTTAATATAAAGAAATTTGGAAGCCTTGATCTCTTGCAGAATGTTTGGAGATTTCTTCAGATGAAAAATGACCAACAAACTATTTTACATGGATAATTTTGTTTGGGTCATGTGCTTTTGTCGTTGTAGTGCTGGGGTCGTGGTGATAGCACCCCACACCTTAGTCACCATGTTGTGGTTTCTATTCCCACCACTAACACCACCCCACTAATATCTTCAAAAAGTTTACTCCTAATCTACTTGATAAAACGGGTAGGGGTCTATCTTCCCCACTGAGTTACCAAAAAAAAGTATACTTGTTGACACACACATTGGAAGATATTGTTCCAAATTCTTCTTCTCATTCATTGACAATTGACTGAATGATCGATATAGACTTTGATATTTTTTCTTAATTGGGTGGAACTTGAACTTTGAAGATCTATAGGAAGTCAGCCAACTAAGGCATGATTGATTTGTTTGGCTACTTTTAATGGAATGAAGTATTGGTAAACAATGTTAGACTTTGTTCTCTTTAACATATACCCTTGTCGCCGAATATTGTTCTTCATGGCATGAGGAATCTGACACTTCATGCCTATGTCTAACGCACAAGTACCCATGTCTATGCAACAAGTCTGTCCAATATCCATCACTTTTTTTGTGTATTTATAGTTTTCAGCTGTGCTCCACTGGGTGTGGATGCGTCTTGAAAGATATCTTTTACAACTTGTAACCCCTCTATCTATCAATTAATTTATGTATCTATCTATCTATATATATATATATATATATATATATATATA